CCCCCCCCCCCCAGGCAGGGGAGAGCCCAGAAGGCCATGGAGCTGCCTTCCACCCCGGGGTGGGGGCGGGGCCAGGGGCTGGTGAGAGAGGAGCAGTGTCCTGGGGTGTCCGAGGTCAAATCATTCAGCTGGGTAGGGAGGGGCTCGGTACCCGGGCTTTGCGGGCAGCTTCCGGCTCCGACACCTCTCCTTCTGTGCCTCAATTTCCTCATCCGGGCGACGGGGATACGAATAAATACTATCCTCTTTGTGGAGTCTTGAAGGTTAAGTGACATAATCCCTAGAGTTTTCAGGGCAGCAGCACCTGGACACTCAGGAAATATTAGCTTTGTTGTCGTAGTTCAGTTCACCTACTTGCTGTAAGATGGGGAAACTGAGGCCCAAGGTCACAACAGCCAGTTAAAACAGAGTTGAGCTCAGAGCCCTGGGCTTCTGAAGCTACCAACAGCTCTGATGTTGGACGAGGACTTGAGGTCTCCCGTGGGGGGTCCGTCGCAGCTCACAGGGCTGCCTGGTGGGAAGTCAGGTGTGCCCACAATCCACTCGTCCTGGGACGATGGCGCAGGGGGGGAATCAAGGCACCGGCAGGTGCTGTGGGAATCTAGAGGAAGGGGAGGAAGGTCCTGGCTGGATCCCTGCCAGGGAGGGCTTCCTGGAGGAAGGGGCAGGAGGAGCCGAGTCTGTACAGGGATGAGTCGTCAGGTCCTATGCAGAGTGCTGCTCAGAGAGAGGGAGGCTCTGAAGGGGGAGAGGGTGCCTGCCCCAGTGCTGGTGGGAGGACAGATGGGAAGTCCCCTCGGAGCAGGTGAAATTAAGGGGACACAGAGACCAGCCAGGTGGGAAAAGCCCTGTGGGCTGGGTGGGGGATGGGGAAGGGGACAATGAACTTGCAAATCAGGTTGCCCTCTGCCATTTAAATCCTTAAAAACACAAATAACAGATGAGATTAGTCACTAGGAGACTGGTCTGTCTGGTCAGACTTGGGAGCCCTGGGGACGCGGGTATGTCCCTCCCTCCTTGTGGGCAGCACGTTAATCTGGCACCAAAGGTCCTGTTACCTGACGTTAGCCTGGCTCTCCCATTTATCCCTCCTCTATCCCCATCCCAGCCCCAGCGACACCAGACTGCCCACTGTTACCCCAGCCCTTCCTGTCACCTGCCTGGAATGCCTTTCTCAGCCCCCTCCTTCGGGATCTATGACCTGTCCCCTCCTCCAGGAAGCCTTCCTGTCCGTTCTGTCTGGTCATTCTTTCCTGTGGCCTGTCTTCCACAATCTTAGCTCTTTGGGGATTTGGGACGGCGGCCTCCAAGTGTCCAGCTCATGGCAAGATCTGTAAATCGTCTGTTCCCGCAGTTCCAAAGGGGGTGCCCCTTCCCTTATCCCGGGGCCCTGGCACGCAGTGAGGGCTCTGGAAAGACTGGTCTCTGGCCGAGGGCAGCGTCTAAGTAGAAAGGTCCCTGAGCAGCTGCAGGGGTTTAGGCTTGCTCTGTGCCCCTAACCCTTACTCTCTTCCTCTGCTTGGTCAGGGACACGGGCGGTTCTGACAGGGAAACGACACACGACTCCCAGATCACGCAGGAGGCCGTCCCCAAGTCCCTGGGGACCTCGGAGCCCGCGTACACGTCTGGGAACCGGGGGCCGCCGCTGGACAGGGCTGAGGTGTATTCCAGCTAGCTGCAGGACTGAGCCCGGGCCCGCTCCTGGGCGGGAGGCCTTCTCCCCACTGGCCTTGCCCAGGGGGTGTGCGGGCAGCCGGTGCCCTGACCCCACCCACGGCGGAACGGGGTGTGTTGGCCCAACCTGCGGGAAAACTGTCAATAAAATCTTCCCAAGGTTTTGAGTTCCAAATGAATGAGGGACAAGACAGATGAATGAATGCTTGAGTCCGTGTTGGGCGGAGGGGCCGGATTGTTTCTCTGGAGGGTGGGGGCAGGGGACTGAGTTTCCATCAGAGTGGAGGGGGTGAGGGTTAGGAAAACGGGTGTCAGAACCCCTGGAACATCCGGAAGATGGGGGAAGCAGCACCCCCCGATCGCCTCCCGTGAGCTGGAGGGGTCCCGAGAGACGGGCCAGGCGTGCAGCCACTAGATGGTGTTTGGGGTTCGCTGACTCCGAGGTGCTTGAAGCTGAACTGGGCCCCACAGGGGCAGCGGCCATCAACTCCTGTGTCCCCCAGCAGCCATCTCCTTCTCTCCGGGGCTCAGCTTCCTCATCTGTAAAATGGGCTGATGTGTAAATGGCTACTTTCAAGGCTCCTTCCCTGCTTTCCCTGAGGGCACCGCGGTGGGCGGGCCGAAGAGGCTTCCGGAAACAGAAGAGGAGCACTGAGTCCACTTGTGGGGGTGCCGCAGGGACCCTCCTACTCCTGCTTCCCGGCTCAGAAGACTCAGTTCTCTCTTCTGAGCCAGGTAGCAAGACCACTTCCCTCTGGGGAATGTGCAAAACGAGTCATGGTTTTCCCATCACGGAAAGGAGAAATTTCTCCGAGCAGGGCTGGGTTAAAGCAGGCACGCTAACCTGTCAGCTGTGAGGTTGACAACACTCCTGAGAGGCGGCGGTCTCCCCGCTGGCCTTCGTCAGCAGTGGCTGATGGGGTCCACTGAGACCACCAGCTCTTCCTCTGGGGGTACGGATGCTGAGACCAGCACGGGTCCACCAGCGGGTTCCAAAGCCAGGAAGGCAGGAGGCAGAAGCTGTGAGAAGAAGCCTAAAGGCAGGGAAGGGTCAAGAGAAGCCAAAGCGGCTGAGGGTCCATCAGGGTGGCCTCGGCCACGGGAGCTGAGAGGAATCCAGTCCCTGGGCCGTGGGGAGGAGGGAGAGGTGGCACAGACTGGGTAGGCTCCGGCCAGCTCTGGATCCCTCGACACTGTATTCCAAGCCCAGGAGCACTAGCCTGGGCGGCCACTGTGCTTCTGTGCTAATTCGTCCTCCCCGAGCCCTGCCTCCAGTAGGGCTGTGCTTCCAGAGCTCCTCCAGGAGAAACCCCAGCGGCCGCAGAGGGGAGGCAAGGCTTCCGGAAGTCTGCCCTTGTTAAAAATTCCTGCAAATGTGCATTTTGGTTTTTTTCCCATTTTTTAACAAGTAATCTCTACGCCCAGTGTGGGGCTCGAACTCACAATCCTGAGATCAAGAGTCGCACCCTGCCTTCTGTTTTGTAACATGCCTGTATTTATTTTAATTGAGGTGGGCTTCACATAACACACAATTAACCACTTTAAAGCAAACAGTTCAGTGGCATTTAGAACATTCTTGATGTTATGCAACCATCACCTCTGCCTGGTTCCAGAATGTTTCCATCACCCCAAAAGGAAACCCTGTACCTATCAAGCAGGGACTTCCTGTTTCCTCCCCCCCCCCCCC